GTGGTATTGGCACTGTCCCTGTGGGCCAAGTGGAGACTGGTGTTCTCAAACCTGGCATGGTGGTCACCTTTGCTCCAGTCAATGTCACAACTGAAGTCAAGTCTGTTGAAATGCACCATGAAGCTTTGAGTGACGCTCTTCCTGGGGACAATGTGGGCTTCAACGTCAAGAACGTGTCTGTCAAAGATGTCCGGTGTGGTAATGTGGCTGGTGACAGCAAAAATGACCCACCGATAGAAGCAGCTGATTTCACTGCGCAGGTGATTATCCTGAACCATCCTGGCCAGATCAGTGCTGGCTATGCCCGTGTCCTGGATTGTCACACAGCTCACATTGCTTGCAAGTTTGCTGAGCTGAAAGAAAAGATTGATCGCAGGTCTGGTAAGAAGCTGGAAGATGGGCCCAAGTTTCTGAAATCTGGTGATGCTGCCATTGTTGACATGGTTCCAGGCAAGCCCATGTGTGTCGAGAGCTTCTCTGATTATCCACCTCTGGGTCATTACGCTGTTCGTGATATGAGACAGACAGTTGCTGTGGGTGTCATCAAAGCTGTGGACAAGAAGGCTGCTGGAGCTGGCAAGGTCACCAAGTCTGACCAGAAAGCTCAGAAGGCTAAATGAATATTATCCCTGACACCTGCCACCCCAGTCCTAATCAGTGGCAGAAGACCGGTCTCAGAACTGTTTCTCCCAATTGGCCATTTAAGTTTAATAGTGAAAGACTGGTCAATCATAACAATGTATCGTAAAACCTTCAGAAGAAAAGGAGAATGTTTTGTGGACCATTTTTGTGTGTGTGTGTGTGTGTGTGTGTGTGTGGCAGTTTTTAAGTTATTAGTTTTTAAAATCAATACTTTTTAATGGAAACAACTTGACCAAAAATCTGTCACAGAATTTTGAGACCTAATAAAACAAAGTTTAATGAGAAAAAAAAAGAATTTATGGCTGGCCAGATAGCTCAGCAGACTAAGCCACCTGCTTAGGCAGGCGCATGGACTGGGGTTGAATCCCCAGCATGTAGTGCCAACCCCACCCCTGGGGGCACTGAGACGGTGACTGAGATTGTGCTTTGGAGTCTAAAAATAGGGATCACTAGGAGTTCAATCTATGTAGTGAGACCCTGTAGACCCTGTACTAAATACATAATTAAAATAAAAAAGAGAATTTGTAAATATTTCTGCTTCAGGAATTATCTAAATCATTAAATACAAAAACAAAGCAATAATGGTTGCTTTTGTTCCATATGAGTTATCTACTTGTTTTTAGAGTGTACTAAAATGTGTGACATCTAGTGCCAAAAATCCTAAAACACATACTTGTTGTAAAAGCTGCTGCTGCTTTTAAAATTTTTTACATACTTCTTTGTTAATCAAGGTTTTTTAAAAAATTAAAATGTTGGGGCCAGGGAGATGTCTCAGTGGAATAAGCGCTTCCCTGGCAAGTGCAAGGGTCTGAGTTCAATCCTTGGTTCTGCCAAAAAAAATAAATAAAAATAAAAATAAAAATGTAGATGTACTATGAAAAAATATATATTTAAAAAATAAACCTAAATATAGTTACAAAAATGAGAAAATAGCCCATCTAAAATATTTAGTGATAGCTTATGTAATGACTATAATGAAGAAAAGATAATACAGTAGTAAGTTGTCTGTCAGAGAAGCCATGTGTGTATTTTGCTGCCCTCTACGGGAGACCACCGAGTGAGTCCCATTTCCACTTCAATTGAAAATCTCTTGAAATTCAGTTCTAGCATAGTTGGAAGTACCAAGGACAAAATACAGAAACCCAAGACTTATGAACACCGAAGTTTTTGCTTTCCTAAATTGTCCCTCTTTTACACTTTATACCAAGATGACAAAATCTGGCAGAGTCAGTAATAACCTAGAGTTATTTTTACTCTTAAGACTGAGACCATTTTTCTGCAAGAGATGAATCAGATTAATTTTATCCAGTGTCAGCACACACATATAAAACAAGCCATTAAGCATTTTAAATGCTTTAGTCTCATGATTAGCGCACTATTCACTGTCCGTGTGCTTCTAGGGAATTATGTGACCATAATACTGATGGATGTTTCATCTCACTCAGTCCTCCTTCTAGGAGCGCAGAACCTTTAATGTCTTGCACTTGATACAAAAGGAAATTTAAGCACAGTGAGGGAAGTAGACGCTCTGAACACTTGCAGCTAGAAACAGAATTTGAATGCGGCCCACTACATGAGCCGTGTTCTGGATGACTCAAGCATATGATGCGACTGTCAGTCAAGAGAACCTATACTGTAACATCATTTAACTCATTTGTGTCCCAAATTTTCTGATCAAGGAGATTATGGGGCCACAGAGGAATGTGAACAATGATGTAGAGTGTGCATAACGAAAGTCTCATGGGGAAAAAACATTATCTCAGGCTTTCACAGAGAGCAAATTGGTCAAGCAATGACCGTGACTCATCCACATGGCTGACACTGACAAAGGGTCTACAAAGCACAGTACGGAGTTTCAGGATAAATCCTGAAGGGACTTGACTTTGTCAGATACAAAAGTTACTCTTCTTATTATATAGGTCTTGCTATATCTTGGTCTCAACCATCCAGCAGAAAAGTGTAGAAATGAGGTATGAAAAGTGAAGCCATGTTAATATGCAGAGCTGTGGAAGGCTCAAGTCAACAGATTCAGACACTGCCCATCCTGTGGTTAACCCACTACTATTGTGGAGTACTGGACTATATTGGAATAGTTTGCCAAATTCATGCACCTTCAATATTTGCATGGCAATGGAATACCCTTTTCTGACAAAACTAAACAAAAAAGGAGATATAAATGAAGGGCAATTTTGTATCTGTATATACAAAATAGGATAGATACATAGCCACTTTCTCTTAATTCAATAAGACTTGTACTAATAGTGTTTGGACAGGATATGATGTCTGCATCCTGAACTATGAATGACTACTATGAAGACAACAACATGCAATGTATTAATTATTGTAACTCTCCTACCAACCTGTTTTGAAACTGTCTCATTGCAATTTTTTTCTCAATAAAATTAGTAAAAAAGAAGAGATCCCTAATAGGATAGATATACAGCTACATTCTCTTAATTCAATGAGAAGAAAGATTTGTACTAATAATGTTTGGGCAGGATATCATATCTGTATCCTGTATTATGAATATCCACTACAAAGACAACAAAATGCAATGTATTAATTATTAAAACTGTCCCACTTAAAAAAATTTGGCTTTGTGCATGACTACTAGCTTCAATGCTCAATTTATACATCTTTCAAGAGCATTTCCCTACTATCACTAGTATTAATCAGCTTGGACCACCATAAAAAAGTAGTACAGACAAAGTGGCACAAGAGACAGATTTTTGCAGGTCTGGAGACTAGAAGTTTGAAATCAGCAGCATGCTGGGTTCTAAAGGAAGCCCTCTCCCAGGAGGCAGAGGTGTCTTCCAGCTGTGTTCCCCTGTGAAGAGAAAAGAGACAGTACTGAGGGAAGGCCAGCCCATCCTCTCCTTGCAAAGGCACAGGTCCTGCCTGTCCAGTTTGGATCCATGCTCACAATCTTACTCACTCTTAACTATACCCTAAGCTCCTGTCTCCAAATGCATGTGCCTTGGGGGATGGGACTTCAATACATGAACCTGGGGAATGTGCATGACATCATCTTATAAATTTCTATACATTTCTTTGTATGTATTGGATTCACCTGTTTCCTGACCTGTGTCTTACTAGACTTGTGTTCCCTCAGGCCATATTCTAGCTATACTGTCACTGTGCCCTTGGTACTTAGTAGCTATGTAATAAATGCTCGCTTGGTCAATGTAGTATGACTGTGAGGCCCAAGCAAAGAAATGACACTTTGCTGCAGTTGGACATGAGAGCAAACTATGTTTACTTGTCACTAACCTTCATGGACCTTAATCTCATCAAAGGTCAGGTGACAGAGGTGAGAGCAGGTGCTAGCAACACCAGCTCACGTGCACAGCACAATAGCTTGTAAGTCCTTGCTTAATCTGGATGAATCATTTAAGAGTAGGTAAACAAGCTAATAGATTACATCTGTTGAATAAATGATAATGTGATATGGACAATGTACTCAACCATCAGTTAATGTTAAATATAAAGAAAGATAAATCAGAATCATAGAAAACTTTATTGTTCTCTGAATAACAAGCTCTGTAACAAAATTTTATGTGTGACAAAGACAAAATATCTCAAATCCTGTTCCCTACAAAAGAGTTAAGTACAGTATGCAAAATCTGTTCATAATATTTTAGTCTACTAAAGATATAAAACATACTAGGATTTGTGGAATAACCATTTCTTTCAACTTCTTCCCATTTACTGCCATTAGGTTTGCTACAATAAAATTATAACATATATGACCATACACATATAATAAGTGAAATGGAAATGAAGGCATACAGCAAGCATTCCAATCATTTAACAAGTATGAAGTCTTTTTAATACTTCTGAACATACTTTTTTATGTATTTAGTAGAGAGTCTACAGAGTGTACAAGGTCTCACTACGCAGATCGGACTCATAGTGATTCTCTTGCTTTTAGCCTCCCAAGGCTGGGAGCACAGCCGCGCCACCATGCCCAGGCTCAATGGCCATCGCAGTGCATCTCAGGAGCGGGGCTGGCACAGGAGGCCGGGGATCAGACCCTGGCCACTGCGCTCTGCTTAGGCAGACGCTTTAGTCTGCTGAGCTATCTGGCTGGCCCTTGAACATACATTTTTTTTGAATGTATTATGTATTAAAATTTTTTTGAAAAATCATTTCCAACGTTAGCTAAGTTTAACCACCTTCAATGTGATGAATGTTCTTATCATAATCACCATTTTAGAGTTTCAAATAAGATTTAACATCACATTAATCTTGTTTGTTGGTGATACCAAGGACTCGGAGCAGAGGCAGCCCACCACCTCGAGCCAAAGGTGCAGACCCTGAGCAAGAGCTCCGTGCGGCACAGTGCTGGTGTCAGGACCGCTCCCTCACTTCGGGGAGGGGCCTACAGGGTTCATCTCTCTCCTCCAAAACAGCAGAATGCTTGATCTAGCCTCTGCACATCTTCCCTTGTACTTTAAATAATCATCTGTAGAATCCTTAACCTAAGACAATGTAAATGATATGCAAATAGTTACGCTGTATTGTTTAGGGAATAATAATCAGGGAAAGTCTGTGCATATTAGGACAGACACAACTATATGTTTAAAAACATTCAATCAGCAGTTGGTTGTCTCTTTGGCTGTGACACCCACAGATGTAGAGGCCACACTCCCGCCTATCCCAGCGCTATGTCTTCAGAATGGCCACTGTAGACACACAGTCTGTAAGACAGGGGACATAGAACGCACACAAAAGTGAACTTGAACTCAGATCTGTACTACACAGAGACTGGATGTGAAATATTTTATAGTGATTAAAATCTACTAGTTAACAGGCAAAGGTGGATTTTTATATTCAACTTGGATTAGGATGAATGAATTTAACAAGAGACTTTTGAGATTTAATCAATGTTACTAATCTCAAGTCTCCAAATTTTGGAGCCTTGAAAATCAGTATATGTGACCTTTCATATATTCTTCCTTATTCTTCATATATTCTTCCTAAAAAGTAAGAACATGGAGGTACTTCAGTTTTCTTTCCAAGGATTACTGTTATGTTTCTTCCTGAGATGCAGAAGGCCACAAAGAAAAGCACCATGCCCAGGCTGCTGAGGCGGGCAACTGACTAATAGTTTGGTCCTTTTCTGAATGGATCCCTTCCAACAATGACGCTGAAGCACAGAGCTGGGTCACAGATGCCAGGTGGGCCTGGCTGCCCCTGGAGCCCAGGCTTCCCGCGATCCCCATCTTTGCCCGGAATGCCCCGGTCTCCTGGAGGACCTTCTTTGCTTATTCCTGGCGGGCCCTCTGGACCTGAAGTGGGACAAACATTAACAGTGTGTGAGCAGAGTTTCTCGCTGATGGCCAAACAGCTGCTCCTGCAGCAAACCCAACCTGAAAATATCCCTCCTGAGCACCTTGTTCTACTGCATTGTCACTCTTGCTAATTCCACGTACTTTCCTGAAAAGAATCACACAAAGGTAGGAGCAGGCTGGACTTCTTAATATAATAATCATGATACCAACCAAGCTGAGTTAACATTTTAATATTCCAATTGTGCTTTCTGTTAACTTATCTCTACCTTTCAGCTTAAATCTTGCCAATATTGTATTAAATTAGCATGTGGTTCAAGGTAATCCAAAGCTCTAATGGAGTCATTTTGTGCCATATTATCAGTAAAAATGATTTTCATCATAT